TAATATTCAGCTATTACTTCTCTAAATATACTCTTGGCATTCTTTATGTTGTCCCCTTCTTTTTCATTAATCTGTATCAATCATATGTTGCTTTTCTTTGTGTCATCTTGCAGTTATTGAATTGTTATTTCCTGGTTCCTTGTTATTTTTAAAAGATCTTTCCTTTCCTGTTCACTAGCTGCACTCCTGTCTTCAAGGTCTGAAATTCTATCTTCACTTTCATTGAGGCAGTTTTTACAGCTTTCAGTGGAGTTTTTTATTTCCTGTATATCTCTGTGCATCTGCTTTATGTATTCTGTTTGTTTCTTATATTGCTCATCCCAGCATTCTATCTTTTTGTTTATTTCCTCCAATTTTTTAACTCTGTTTTCTTTAGATATATTCAGAATCTCTTTCATTTCTTTTATCATTTCTTTTTTTACCTGGGAGATTATTTCGAGTTTGAATTCCTGTAAAACTTCCTGGAGTTACTTGTTTATTTCAGTAGCTATGATGTCTGATATTTGAGGTGTATGACATAAATTTTCTTCTATATACATCACTCAGGGTTTCTTGAGATGGGTTGTAGGTTTGAGGTTGTAATTTGGTCTTTTGTTTTGTCATTTTCCTATATTTCTGTGTTTCAAGTTTTATTTGAAAGCTTCCTCAGTGTTTGTTGGAAATCCACTTCTATGTTCACAGCTCCTGGGACTCTGGCACCCAGTTTCCCAGGCCGCTGGGCCTCTGGAACCAGTGGCCCTCTTCTGCCAATTTAGAACTCCGTAGTTCCAGATAAACTGGGCCCCAAGGACACTGTGCGCTGGCCTGCTTGCTCGAAATTCCACATTTCTCCGAGAGCAGCCAGAATGGGGAGGCAGATGTAGGCACCTGGGGCCCACTTGGCCACTTCAATGCACCCGGAAAGCTCAAAGATCCTGAACAATCTGGGCTTGGGGCAGGGTGCACTGGGCACTTGGCACAGGCTGCAGGGCCTCTGGAACTGGTGATGCTTGCCTGCTTGCTGAGAAATCCACAGTCCTCCAGACACATGGGGAGGTGGATGCAGGTGCCCCAGACCCACCCAGCTCTTACTCTGCACCCAGAGGGTGCTAGAGTCCCAAATAGGCTGGGCTCTGGGGATAGTGTGTGCCTGCCTGCTTGCTGGAAACTCCACAGTTCTCTGAGTGCAGCCAGAATCAAAAGATCTTTTAAAAATAACAAGAAATCAGGAAATAACAATTCGACAACTGCAAGATGACTCAAAGAAAAGCAATATAAGATTGAAAGGGATTAATGAAAAAGAAAGGGACAACATAAAGGATCTCAAGAGGATATTTAGAGAAGAAACAGCTGAAAATTTCCCAAACATGAGATCAGAAACTGACATCAGCGTCAGTGAGCATATAGAACTCCAAATACTCATAACCAAAATAAAACTATAAACAGACATATAATAATCACCATCCCATAAATCCAACATAAGAATAGAATATTAAAAGCTGTCAGAGAGAAAAGACAGATCCTCTATAAGGAAAACCTATCAAAATCACTGCAGACTTCTCAGCACAAACAGTAAAGTCAAGAAGAGCATGGATTGAAGTATTCCAAATCCTAAAGGAAAATGATTTCCAATGTAGTCTGATGTACCCTGAAAAACTGTCCTTCAAAATCGATGGAGAAATAAGATACTTCTATGACAAAGAACAGCTGAAGAACTTCATTATCACTAAGCCAACTTTGCAAAGAATATTGAAAGATAGTTTAGATACACTTAGGAAAAATCCAGGAAACAAAGCAGAAAAATACACATAACAGAAAGATAAAGATGCAACAGCAGAAAAATAACATGAAAAACAGTAAACCAACATATAACAGTTACAACCATTAATGCAAATGGTCTCAATGCACCAGTTAAAAGAAACAGACTGGCAGAGTGGATCAAGAAACAAAATTCAACCATATGCTGTCTACAAGAAATCCATCGAACCCAAAAGGATACTCACAGAATGAAAGTCAAAGGATGCAAAATAATACTTCATGCAACAGGATCCCCCCAAAAAAGTGGGGGTAGCTATTCTGTTTACAGACAAAGTGAACTTCATACCAATAACAATCAGAAGACATAAAGAAGGTCATTATATACTGTTAGAGGAAAACTTCAAGAGGGAGAGATAACAATCTTAAATATATATTCACCAAATTCCAGAGCACACACTTAACACACCATTGACACAAAGGGACAGATCAACCAGACAGAAAATCAGCAAAGAAACAAGTTTTCCATTTTACTTTTGAAAATCAGCAAAGAAACAAGTTTTCCATTTTACTTTTGAGTTTCTGCAAAGCGTTTTCTTCAGTGCTCAAAATTGTTCTATGTTGAAAGCTATTGATTTTTCATGAAAAAGAAAATATCCAAATTTTAAAATGATATATTTAAAATAGGATGGGAGGAATTCAATTAAGTTAGGTATAGTTATATTCTTGTTGTATTTATGTTAAACACAGAAAGAACTGATAGAAAATAAGGAAAAGAAGGGGAAGGAAACCAATAGGAAGAGGGAGGCTGGACCTGAACACAACTTGATATTTCCATGTGTGAGAATATTACATTGAAACTTTAATTTTAATAATAAACATTTGTTAATTTTTTAAAAAGAATGAGAATCAATGTATCAAAAATCAAGTATAAGATGTAAAATAAAGTAGACCCTTTATAAAGAAAACCTAACTTTTTGAAAAAATTAAGGTAAATATACTTCTGGTAAATTGATAAAGAAGAAAACAAAGTAAATACCATAAAAATAAGCCAAATGCAAACCCTTCAAAAACAATTTGCAATGAGTAAGAAGCATGAATTCATTTCAGAATATCCCCTAAATTATATGTAGATGAATACAAATTTGACAGTAAAAATAACACGAGTGAAAAACTAAACAGAAATAATTTTTATATACTTAACACCATATCCAAACTTGTATGATCCATTCTTTAAACTCAATAACCTATAAAATTACCCTATTGAGAAGGAGAATTTCAATACCATTCTTTTTTGTTTATTGTCTGGGACAGGGTCTTGTTACTCAAATAAAGTTAACCTTGAGCTCACTATGTAGCTGAGCCTTGTGAACATCCTTTTGCCTCAGCCTCCTGAGTGCTGGAATTACAGGTTTACACCACCACACTTGGCTCAATATCATTCTTGAATTGTGTAAAGTATTTCAGAACGTGATAAAATAGGAAAAGGTGCTAGTTTATATTTCCAAAAACATAAATTGTTAATTTCAAAGATAAATTCTCTACAGGAAGAAAAAAAACAAAAATTTTCACAATCTCTTCATGAATTTATAAAAAAATATAAATTGTAGTTGATTTAGCTAACAATACTGTACTAAACTGAAATAAACATTAAAGTATATTCATGATAATGATACATACATGACCTGTCTGGTCAACTCATTTATATCTTTACAAAAAAGACCTGACAATTGTTTCAATATATATTTAAATTTTTCAAAATATTCACAGTTCTATAATGATTTAAAAGTAAAACAGTAAAAAACATTTTAGCTTAATAAAATTTATGCATATAGAAAAAGAATATGCTTCACACTCATCTTACACTCTTTACACTCAATCATGAAACTGCAAAAGTAAGGAAAAGACATTCAGTATCATCATATAATAGTGTGTCGAGTCTTCACCAAAGGAGAAGACAAATGAAATTAGTATTGTTTCTGAAATCAAAATTATATTTGGAGGCAGTAGGAGTGAATGAGTTACCTTCAGTATTTCAGGGAGGTTCTGTTAGATGAAACTATAGAGTGACCTAGTAAGTTTAATGCACAGGTACTGGAAAAAATGACAAAAGCTGTTCAAGATAAAGGACATGTAAGCAAACTTCAGAAAGTGGCATTTTGTGTAGGCTAGTGTTGACTATTTGTTATACATAGTCTCCTTTAAATTGTTTAGAGAAAGGGATGACACAGGGAACTATTTTGGGGTGGAGAAAGCTGCTTTGTAGAATTTTAAAGCCAGGAGAATGGACAGAGATGACACAAATACAAAATCTTGGGTACGCGTACACTGAATCAGACTAAGGGGAGAGGATTTCTCATTATTGGCTCCTCGGGGATTAAATATTGAAATTAACTGTGCATCCACATTTAACATTTTTGTTATGTTAATACTATTAAATCGCTATTTTTTCACTATCTTTTCTAAATGCTAAAAGGTTAAAAACTTAAAAATTTAAGAAAATGTTTATTTCTTTACTTTCACTTTCAAATAAGTGCAAAGCAAGGTAAGTATTTGGTTCTCTCCTTATTCTGTGCCAACAAAATAATACTTACTATTATTTTTCCTAATGTAGATAAATGACATGTATTTTTCCATCTTATTTAATTTCAAAGGCTATCTGGAGAAGTGTGTATCTCATTAATGTGAGAAACATTTTGTATCCATCAGCATAAAGGAGACATGGTCAGATAACCATTTCCAAATTAAAAATCTGAAAGTTCAAATTTCACATTATGAACTCATGAATAATCTATATTTCATCATCAGGAAGATAGTGTAAGTAAACAGAATAAATGTAGTGATGCTTATATATGTTATTCAGAAGAAAAGAATAAATTGGATTTTTCAGTCACTAATTGAAAATAGAAAAAAATTAGCACCAGGTTATAGGAGTATCATCTACTTTGTTTCTTTGTATGACTCACTCCACTTTCACACTGTTGATAGAAAATTGGATTAGGAATGACAACAGCTGGGGAATATGGCAAAGTTAAAGAAAGCACACATGAGTGACATTGGAATTCTGAGTACAGAAATTGGAAATACATCTCTTCACATCATCTCTTATGATGGTAAAAGCAGGATCTAGAGGAAGATATTGTCAGAAACAAACAGCTAAGAAAAAACATTGTATACATTTCCCATCTCCTGTATTGCCTTATCTTTTCATTTTCTTCATTTTCCTAATCGTACATTTCTTCTCCTTTCCTGTAAAATGTGCTTTTTTATATGCTGTGTGGTTTTGTATCCTTGCAACTTGAAAAGATCCTTACAACACAGTCTTGTATCTGCTTAGTTTTCACCCCATAGACAATAGGGTTCATAGTGGGGGGCAGGAGCAGGTAGACATAGGCCACAAGGATGTGACAAGATGGAGGGATGACATTGCTCCCAAAGCGATTGAAAAAGAAACAGAAAAAGGCTGGAGTGTAGGAGAAAACAATGGCACAGATGTGGGCAGTGCAGGTGCTGAAGGCCTTCTGCCGAGCATCTGCTGAGAAGAGGCTGACCATTGCATGCAGGATCATGGTGTAGGAGATGGTGATGATGCACAGAATGTCAAAACCCCCAATCAGTAGGGCAATACTGAGACCATAGATAATATTGACCTTGATATTTCCACAGGATGACTTAGTTACAAATAGCTGGTCACAGTAAGTATGGTGTATTATGTTGCCTCTGCAGTAGGGCAGTTGCTTGATGATGAAAATCAAGGGAACTATGAGTAGCACTGCTCTCAATAAAGTAGCAAATCCAGACCTTATAATGACAGGATTGGTGAGAATGGTTGAGTAGTGCAAAGAGAAGCAGATGGCCACGTAGCGGTCCAGGGACATAAGCATGAGCACTCCAGACTCCACCACTGTGAAAGTGTGAATAAAGAACATCTGGATGAGACATTCATCAAAGCTAATTTCCTTTAGGTGGAACCAAAAGATGCAGAGGGCTTTGGGGATGCTTGCGGTGCACATGACAAGGTCAGTGAAGTACAGCATGGCTAAGAAGTAATACATTGACCTGTGCAGGGAGTCCTCAAAGCTGATGAGGTAGAGAAGTCCACAGTTCCCAACCATGGCCACTACATACATGGAGCAGAATGGGAAGGAAATCCAGATGTGCATGTCCTCTAGCCCTGGGATCCCATTAAGAATCAGGGAGGTTGGGGTCAGGTGTGTTTCATTCAGTAGCAGCATGATAAGCTCAAAATAGTCTTTCACTTACTTGTGGGATTTTACTTTTGCTTTGTTTTGGTTTTGATCTTCTAAGTTTAAGAAAAATAGAAAAATAAAATTCACAATTGTGGTCATTTTCTATCTCTTTTATCTGATAAACAGAGCATATTAATATCAATCAATTTTTTTAAATTTTATTTAAGGAGAAAAAAGAAAAAGGGTACAAGTTATACAGAATTTCAAAAAAAAAAAATAAGCAGTAGGAAATCACTAGTTAATTACATATTGTCATCTTAGAAATAGTTGTTGAAGTTACAAAATTAAAGCATATAGAGGGGAATTTCAAACAGTGAGACTGCAAACAGTTTTGTTCAATAATCCAACAAAACTCAGTAATATGGTTATCTATCTTATACATTTAAATATATATGCACTTATATCTTTTAGAGAACTTTCTTTTCCTTTCTTTTGTACAATGACAATTAGACATTTTGGGTTTTATTACTCGCACAGTTCTTATTCCTTTTTTTTTTGAAGAAAGTAAAACCAAATGTGACATACCAGGACAGAATCAGTCAAATCAAAAGGATGGACATAATACATAATGTAAAAACAAAATACAAGGTGATGAACAATGGTTACTTGTTATCTTAAAAAGAATTGCCGAGATCAAAACCACATCTATGCAGTGTAGGAGAAAATGGCGGCGTGCTAGGGGATCGAGCGAAGAATCTCTCCAGAGAATTCAAACTCAAAGCTAAAAAAAAAAAAAAAAAAAAAAAAAGACAGCATGGAGAGGACCAGACAAATCCATAGCGATTCTTATCAACCAAGACAGTACAGCTGGAGGATTTAAAGTCGTGCTGAGACCGGAGGCTGCAAATCCCGCGCTCTTAAATCAACGAACAGACTCGTGGACCCAACACGAAAAGCTGAGTTGCTTTTGGGGACTGCGGAAACTGAGACCCAGATCGAGACTCCAGGCAGCAGCCAGTTCTGCACCGCTGCACCAGAGCAGATGTACAGAGCTCTGGCGTTTCGAATCTAAACGGTGCACAGAAATCTGACCAGTCAGCGCTGAGCCGCGAGGTGGGGAAAAGTGGACGGCTTGGTATGTGGCGGTCCCGGAGCGGGGACTTGCACCGGACTCTGGTGAGTATAGAAAACCCCGCGGCGGCTGGGTTTGGCCAGAGAACAGCTGGCCCGCCACCACGGGGAAATCAATAACACAGAATCTGGTGCAGACATATTAGCCTGGCGGCAGAAATCGCAGCTTGGTGACATCACCAGGACCCCCTGTAGGGAGGGCTGGTGGAAGACATCTTGAGTCCTGGCAGAGTCTGATTGCTTGCTGGCTTCAGCTCCGCACGGAGAACTTAGTGGGAGCCATCTTGGTTTTGGGCAGATCTGCTTTTCTAGAGCTCCTATCACAGAGAGGTTTGGAAGAGAACGGCTGGGACCTGGGCAGAATCCTGTGCCATTACCCAGCTGCTTCTGATTCAGGGAGAACTGGCAGGAGCTGTTGGGGCTAGATCAGGCCTCTGCTTGGGGCCCAATGGGCGGATGCAGAATGGTCACAACTCAGTGACAACCAGAAAGTACAGCCTAATTTATGAACTAACTGACACAGAGGCTAGAGACTAGACTGTACCGCCCCTGCATCCCAGCCTACCCCAGATAACAGCAAATTGGGGAGGACAGCAAAAACTCAAGCCGGCACGCTTCTGAAAGGCCCTAAGCAATTCGGAGAGGGCCAGAGAACTCCAGGACAGTCTGAAAGAAACCAGAAACATGACAAGAGATAAAAATTTAAAAAAATCTCCAGCTGTTCAACAGGAGAAATTAAACCCAAGAGAACTAAACACTGAAGAGAACAAGCACAGTAACCATTCATTGCTCAACTCAGCATCAGCCGAAATTAAAAAGTATTTACATGATCTCATAGAGGAATTTAAAGATGTACTCCTGATCCAAGTGAGGCAAGATATAAAGAGATTAATTAAAGAAATGACAAGCCCTGCCCAAGAGAACACAGATGGAAGAACTGAGGAAATCAGAAAAGAAAGAGAAGCATCTGAAGAATTTAAGCATAACTTAGAATACATGAAACAGATCCAAAGAGAAAATCAGGAAACTAAAAACTCCATTGAATATTGGCAAAATGCCTTGACAGAAACTAAAGACAACCTTCTGAAACTTGAAGAGAGATTTAGGGCTTATGAACGTGAAAGAAAAAGCCTCTTAAAAATAACAAGGAACCAGAAAGAAGCAATTCTAAAACTGGAAGATAATAAAAAGATGCATAACCTAAGAATAAAGAATGTGAGTGAGGAAGCAGGAACATCCAAAAATGAAATACAAAAAATATTCACAGAGATATTAAAGCAAAATTTCCCATGTATAGCAAAAAGAAATGATATCCAGACAAAAGAAGCATACAGAACGCCAGCTACCTACAACCAAAACAGATCTACGCCTAGGCATATAATAATCGAGATCCCAGAAATCCACCAAAAAAACAGAATATTAAAAGCAGCCAGAGAAAAGATGCAGGTTACCTATAACGGGAAATCTATCAAAATAACGGCAGACTTATCAACACAAACTCTTAAGTCAAGAAGGGAGTGGGGAGAAATATTCCAAGTCCTGAAGGAAAAAAATATGCAACCTAAGTTCATATATCCATCAAAACTCTCTCTAAAAATTAATGAAGAAATAAGATACTTTCAAGACAAGGAGGAACTGTGGGAGTTCGTGGCCACCAATCCAACCCTACAGAGAGCGCTGAAGGACATTACAGAGAAAGAGAGGAAGAGATATCAGGATTCCAGCTACAGTGGCAGAGAGGCTTCAGTGTACGGGGCAGACCATGGAATGAGGGAATAAGGTGGACAAATTATAGCAGAAAAGTGGAGTAGCAGACATGAGGCAGAGACGGTAAGCTAGTCTTTGGTAGAGACAGCTCTGAAACTATATTTAAAAAAAAAAAAAAGCAGAGGTCATTGCTAATGGTGTATAACGATTTAAAAGACACAGTAGTCCTAGTGACATATTTAGATTGAATTAAATTTGTTCTGGTCTGTCCACTCATATCAGATTTGAGGACACAGACCTCTAGAACCAAAAATAGCAGGTTATACCACGGCAACTATCCTTACTTTCCTATTGACTTAGGCTGAAATTCTGTACTACTTACATTGTCTTACTATGACTGATCTTAATTGTATCTGAATCATAAGACTATTGGTTGGCCTTGACTGATCCTATTTGAAATCCGTATGCGTGTTAGAATCAACCCTAAAAGTAGAGGAAACTACTCTGAGCATGACAGGATGTAAAGGATATCCATACTGGTATGAATCAGTAACAGCTCTCAAATACTACAATGCAGTCAAAGATAAGTTTTTATAAAAATAGGTGATAGTATATTTAACTATAATAAGCCAGTGTTGTCGACAAATCTATTGAAAATAACAAGAGAAAACATAGTAGCTACGGAAGATCATTTATATTATAGTTTTGTAAGTCTTATCCATTGCATGTTTATCTAGGAAATTGTTTCGCTGTCTTGTTATGACTTGGTTTTCCCTATAATACAGAGAGGATAGGAACAAATACTCTGAGGAAGAGACCTGAAAAACCCGAGGCTTATTTTGTAGCATTATAATATAAATTCTAGCAATCTATTGCTTGCTGATTAAAATGACTCTGGACTGGTTTCTTCAGCTCAACTTCAGCATATGCAGAGATGGGGACGGCTATCACAAAGAGAATGAGAGATGCGATGGTAGTTGGAAATGTCTTCCCTAATTTGGAACTTGAGGACCTAAAAAGACTCCATCATCCTGTAATGATTTGATTAGTTCTATAATATGCAATAAGTATAGAAAGTGGGTGAAGTTAGGGACAACTATCTGTAAGAAGCTAGAGACAGTTAGATAAGGTAGATCTCCAGTGGACTTGCTTTGAAATCTGTATTTCTTTAAATTGTTTTTTATTTTTTTTTCTAAATGTACTGTTCTGTTTTGATATGGTTAACCTTATCCTCTTAGAGATGTAAAACAAATAGGTGGGACTGATAATCATATTACGGAGCTTTTGTTCAGCCATAGAGCAGAATGGTTTGTAGGGTCACTTTTTTGAATGTCATTCTAAATACTTTAATTCTATAACCTAAACAGCCATTACGAAGAAGACAATTTGTAACTTATCAACTGGCAATTTCTTACCTTTTGTTTGTCTGTAATTTAGTATTATTTTTCTACCCTTTTTTTCTTTAATCTCCATGTATTTTTTTTTCGTTTCCTTTTCTTTAAATTAAAAAAAAAAAAGAATTGCCTACATCATCAGTTATAATAAAATTGAAAAAACAGTAAAGAATAAGACCAATAAAACCAAAACATTGGAGACATTAGAGGCCTTCAAAAGAACCAGAATGGGTGTCACAATGGATCTTATTGTCTTCATAGTTGTTGCCTAGACTTTCAAACTTGGTACTATCTAGCATAACAGAATAGAGGAAAATCAGTCAAAACAAGATGTGAGAGCAATACAGAGTTTGAATATCAGCCAAATTTAAAATGCCAGCTAATATTTTCTTAAAATTCATTTAAATTGAACTTTTTGTGTTCATTAATTCATCAATTCTTTCAACATGCTGCACACATATTTAGCAACTAGCTTGTGCTAAGCTGTATTGCTGTTATTTTAAACACAAGAAATGTACAGATACATTTTTGGAAATATATAGGCAAGTATAATTGTGTTATGATCTCAGTATTTTCATTGTTTTATATAAATGTTCAGGATTCAACACACTCTGTTTTAGGTATCTTCTTAAAAATAAGCTCATGGAACATATTAAAAATAAAATAGCTGATATGATTTGGATGCATTTATTTTTGTTCTTATTCTTTATTAGGAAGCCAGGTTTATATTCACTGAATACCAAGTACTATATTAAAAATTCCACATGGAGAAAGTCAGTCAGTTTAATATTCACTAAAATCTCAGAAATATTT